TTTACAATGAAGAAGCTACTCCACTTCTGTAATCCACATTTCTTATTCTCAAATTAGAAAGGTTAATAAAATTAGGAACAGTTGATATAAAATACCACTTAGTTACCTGGTATCCTGGTTAAGGTTATCTTTCTTAAGCAATACTCCCAGAAGATTTAATATAATTGAGAAATGTTTCTTTGTAGCTGTAGTTACAGTACTGATCACAGCTCCATCAAACAAAGAAGGAGAAGAAGAACTAAGACTACTAGATATAAAGTGGTCATGCCTGAAAGACAAAGTATGGATCATCTTTTCATCTTTAATCAAAAAGAGAAAGCCAAGTCCAAAGATAAATCCACACATATTTCCAATAAGTGTACATTAAAGGGCTCTTTTTCCTCTTTAAAAATAAAAGCATTGTGATTTTTTTTCTTAAAGATTCGTAAATATACTACCTGGTACAATGAGAATACAATGTGTAGAGCACGGCATATTGAATGGCAGGGAAGTGAACAGCCAGGTCACTGTGCACAATCATCAGATTCTTACTCAGAAGTGCAAAGACGGTTGGAGACAGTGCCCACATCTGATGGTATACGAAAGCAAGTAAATTTATGTCATCTCCAAGATATTACAAGCATACAAAGACTTTTTATCCTTCAAAATAAGTTTAGAGATTTTTACAATTAAAATTACGGATATAAATTTGGAAATAATCTAGTACACTAAACTGGAGCCACAAGCAAACACCTTGTGTGGAGGCAAGTCAGTAAATATCTTAAAGTTCTGTGCGCCACATAGCATCTCTGTTGCAATATGGTCACTCCTCAACTCTGCCACCGTAATAAGAAAATAGCCATAGACAAAACATAGGAATTAGATTGGCTGTGTTTCATTCTTTGCAAAAACAGGTGGCAATATGATGATGTCCCATACTCTGCAAATGGCAAAGTGCCCTGTCCAATGAGGGAAAAAAGGCACATTTTGCCACTCTTATGCCTTTTCCATCCTTTCCTTTTCCTTTCTACTAACACACTTCCTGTCACCTGACTGCCCAACCCCCACTCCGTCCTTGTTTCCAGAGCACAGGGCGTAAGTCTCTTCAAATCTGTATATAACGTGAATTCTTCAAAAATGTAAAGAAGGCAAGAGTTTATCACAGCCCTTCAACACAAGCCATAACTAGCAATGAGGGAGGCAGCAGCTATGCGATGATTGCAAGGCAAGCTGATCCAACAATATGGAGTGCACACAAGCATAAACATCAAATTTTGACTTTTCCATCCTTCTCCCTTAGAAAACTTTATCCCCTTAATTACATCACATTACTTTCTACTAAATATGTTTTTCAACTCTGCATGGTTCCATAAAAGGGAGAAATATACAAACCATGAGCAACAATTACAAATCAAGCACAGGCCACTTCATATTTCTTTATTGTTTTTCTAAAAGAAAGAATACAGACTGAGTATCCCTTTTATTCGAAATGCTTGAGACCAGAAGTGTTTCAAATTTTGTAGGAATTTCTGGATTTCAGAATATGTACATATACATGATGAGCTTATCACAGGGATGGAACCCAAGTCTAAACACAAAATTCACGTATGTTTCATATACACCTTATTCAGAGAGCCTGAAGGCAATTTTATAAAATATTTTTAATAATTTTGTTCATGGAACAAAGTTTGAACTTCATTTTGACTGCAACCCCATCACATGAGGTCAGATGTGGAATTTTTCCACTTGTGGCATAATACTGAAGCTCAAAAAGTTTCAAACTGCAGAGCATTTTAGATTTCAGATTTTTGCATCATGGATACTTAACCAGTAAGTGTAATGCAAATATTCCAAAATCTGAAAAAAATCTGAAATCTGAAATACTTCCAGTCCCAAGCATTTCGGATAAGGGATATAACCTGCATGAATGTTACTAGAGAAAAGTAGCCAGTCAAATATGTAAGACCACATGTAAGCTCTAAATTTAGTGGTCAGAAGGAAAAAAGTACCAGCAGAAGAAGAAAGACTGCATATTAAAAGAATTACACAAATTTGAGCTGTGGAAAATATTGACAAATTTTCTTTATATAAGCATACTAGAGTAAACAGAGGAAACTCAGAAAAAGACATTTTCTAGAAACATAATGGCAAGAAAATATTCCTGCCAATGTCATTTATCCAGCCATGTCCTAAATATGGGCATCTGTTATACAGTGATTCTGCAGACACGATGACATGACAGTAAGTGAAATACATAAATATGCAGTAAGAAAAGGCTTAACCATGAATAAAACAATGTCATTGCAATTAAAGACTCACCCCAATTAATGAGTTTTTGGCATTTCCGATTGTAGTCAGGGCACTGAGGTCAAATATAACTACAAATTTTGCATTGTCTACATTGAATACATGATTTTTAAAAGCCTCGTGTTTTATTTCAGAACAGGCATCAGGAAGTTGTAGACTATGTAGCAGGTTGTTTAGGGCACAAGTCATTTCTCCCAAAATTAACTTATAGGCAGTCTCCAAAACAGGAATATTCTTCAAGCTGAGCACTGCTTGATAAACAGCATGGGCTACAGCAACAACCTGAAAAAGAGGAAATTCAGGCAAATGATAATTAAATGGAATATAAATCTTCTAAAATTATATGAAAAAACAAATCACTATCTGCATAGTGCTGGTGGCACAAATCAGTTTAAGGTTGATAAATTCATTAACCAGAACACCTAAATTTTAATTTTTAAAAAACCAACCTTAGGGAGCCTATAAATATCAATGAGCTTTTTCACAAAGCTTTATTACAAATAAAGGGGTACTCTAAATAAAACTGCTGGCTGGGTGCAGTGGCTCATGCCTCTAATCCTAGCACTTTAGGAAGCTGAGGCGTGAAGATCACTTGAAGCCAGCAGTTCGAAACTAGCCTGAGCAACAAAGCAAAACCAGGTCTCTACAAAAAATAGAAAAATTAGCAGGGTATGGTGGCACAAGCCTAAGTCCTAGCTACTCAGGAAGCTAAGGCAGGAGGATCACTTGAGCCCAGGGGTTTGAGGTTGCAGTGAGCTATAATTGTGCCACTGTACTCTAGGCTGGGTGACTCTCTCCAAAGAAAGAAAAAAAGAAAAAGAAAGAAACTGCCAATATGAAATTTCTTACATGGCCATGTTCAAAAAAATACTCAACATACATTAGCAGGCCAGGCGCAGTGGCTCACGCCTGTAATCCTAGCTCTCTGGGAGGCCAACGCGGGTGGATTGTTTGAGCTCAGGAGTTCAAAACCAGCCTGAGCAAGAGCGAGACCCCATCTCTACTAAAAATAGAAAGAAATTAATCGGACAACTAAA